AATGCATTTTCTGACACACACATCCCTCGTCTTCTGCCTTATCGAATAATATAACCTTCATCAATTGAATAAATAACGGCAACTGATCGATTAACAGGTAATCATTAACAACATGTATAATACATGGATTAATATTAACCTTGTTCAGGACCTTCATGTTGCCATACGTAGAAGGTCTTTCGGGGTCCATTGGACCCCAAGAAAGAAGATGTGCAAAATATTTGTTGGTATTCATTACAGACTTTTATACTATGTTAGATGAATTTTCTGATAAGTTGGCGTATGTTTGGTTCCAAATGCATGACAAATGTTCCTCTTTTTATATTTTAAAAAAACCCTCCAAAATAAAAACACAATACCTGTCATCTAAACCAAATGGCCTGGGGTCCAAAACACCCCAAAAGTCCTGAATAGGGTTAAATGATAGTTTGTGTATACAGGACTGTGTTGTGACATTGACGTGACACAACAACTAAACAACATTTATCTCTTGGAGACGTTAAAGGTGACTGTTGATTCATTTTGACACAATATGGCCACATGTGCTGCTTCTGTGTTACTGTGTTCTGATGATAATTATGTGTTAGATGCAATCTTTATATTCACTTGTACTTTGGTTAAAAAACGACAGCGACAGTTTGGAGCATACTAAATATTAAGATTAGCAGGAAACCAGTGGATTTCGCCAACAGTGTGGTCTGAGAATACTTCATAATGGAGAATATAGACACAGAATATAGTTTATAAGACCAGCTTCTGTACAACATTATAGGCAGCAGCCCTCAAAAGCCATTATAGTCAAACTATCAGATATGTAAACAGAAGATAAGTACGACTTATCTGCAAAATACAGGTACAAGATAAGTAAGGAATTTCTGTTCTCTTGGACATACAGCCAGTAACATACAAACTGTATCTGACAGATATAAACCTACAATATGACCAGTGTCAGCCTGTTAAAGTTCTAAACACTATGAAAGTTGTTAGAACTGGACCATCCCACTTTCACTGTACCCTGTGGGATGTTTTCTCATTTGCCGTGAGTTCACCTGCACACATCATTCCATGTAACCTCAGGCCATGAAGACAAAGTGGTGACTATGGAATAGATTTCATGGTATTTAGGCCAGATTTTATTTTATTTTTTCCACTAAAATATCTTGCAGCCCCACTGTGCAGTGCAGAATTTCAGAGCTCAAGTTCTATGAGCAACATATTGGTGAAATTGCCCAGAGAGAGGTCATCTCTAGTAACTTCTCTACAGCATGAGCACTATTCTAGGAAAAAATACTGAACACAGGGACAGTAAAGTTTGTGAAAGGATTTTCTGTGGATAACAATTCAGACCCACACCTATACCATTACCTTGTTGATCCAGGTGGTCACTGCGTCCTCTGTGTCATAAGGCGTCTCAGCTTCAGGGTTGCAGGATGAATACTGACGAATGCAGGCCATCACCTTCTCCGCATTCACAGTCTCCACCGTGTACGCCATCATCAGAGTGTCGATCATTGCCAGATGGGCGCTCTGGAAGAGAAAACAGTGCAAACAATGATTAGAGGGCGGAAATGAGTAGCTTTGAGGTAGCTCGGCTGTGGCTGATTTAATGAAGATGGTATGTGTAGGTGTTTTATGTTGTCATTCCTTGTCACTTAACTGTAAATATAACAGTGTACTCCTGCATTTTAGTTTTATTTTTATGCTGTGGTCAAAACCTTAGCTGTGTAAACAGTGATGTCAGACAGAAACATGATAGATGAGAAAGTAAACCCAATTTGTTTCCTGGACACGATGTCAAAAGATCTATCCGCTCTGCTATCGAACTATGACAGTGTGTTAATCTCAGTAACAGACCGAGAGAGCCAGACAATGAGAAAATCTGATACTTCAACAGGATCAAGATAATAGATGCATAACAAATACAGCAAAGATCTGTCAGATCTGCTGAGGCAGAGAATGAAAAACGACCAAGTCGATATAGAGTATGAGCTGGAATACAAATATGGAAAATTCGAATGCAGTTGTTCAAGTTTGAGCCTTTTTTTTTTTTTTTTACAAAAATGAAAAAGTTCACATAGTGAGGAATCCTAGAATTAGCATGTTACTGCAGTAAAGTGGAGGGTAAAGCAGTGACAGAGCCGTGGTTTATAGGTTTGGACCAGGACTCCATATTCGTCCTCTGTCTTCGGCTGAATTTCCTCTTGTGGCTGTTGCCCTGGAAACAAGTGCATCCATCCCCCTGTTACGAGACCCAGTTTGCTCACAGCGACTGTTAGCCTTTGAGAAAGCCCGAATAAGACGTCTTTCTGAATCCAAGTAACAGAGCTGGCACTTATTATATGCTGCTCCGCTCATCATTATCCTGGAATGTAGGGTTCAAATTTGAAAAAACTACAAATACAAAAATAGAGAAGAATATCGTGGCGTTCATCGTGTGACTGTGCTGTAGCTGTAATTAAGTGAGTATGTTCTGACCAGCTTACATGGACTTTTCATTACGTAAGACTGTGGGTAGTTCACTGTCATCAGATATTTAGTACAAAATATAACTCGAAGAAAACATCTAATGTACTGTACTTCCTGTAAGACTTTGGCTCTATTCCCAAAAAGAACCATTTGCATATTATTCCTTCGTGAGAGGTAAAGGAAACGATGAACAGAAGAAGGTGTGGTAACTTGTTCGACGCTGCAAAATACATTTACGCAATAATGTTGGTATTTGGCAGCTAAAGTTAATGAAACAGGGTGTTTTCAGGGAGTTCTGCCATTCCTCAGCCTATTTTTGATCATTATTATAATGACCTATAGTCATTACTAGTCATACGCGTAATGTCGGCTTAATGCGGAAAATCTTCCAAGTGGGTATAGCCCACGCAGTACGTCTGATCTTTATATTTTAGCTCCTACCTTTCAGTCCCTCTGCTCGTCTATGCTGCCTTGTGCATCCTAAAGGCACTATAGAAATCAAACTGCTAAATATTTATACTTGGGCAGCAGCTTTTCCGTGAGCTAACCCATTTAATCAGCTGTGAACTTAAAATGGCCCCTTCAAGATCAACAATCATCCGGCGAAACAAAATTACGCAAAAGGAAGCGAGGTAATAAAAGGTTTTAATCTTGAAGTGATGTTAAAGGGGCTGTGCTGCTCGCTCGCTCCATCACTCAGACTACTGTGGCATTTTCTGTTAGTCATAAAGGTGAACGAGACAAAGCCAGAATTAGTCATGTAAAAAATGTGCGTAATACCTTTTAGTAACTTTGTGATAAAATACAAACGCTGCCTTACTGTACAGCAGTTGGTGGAGCTTTATATGATGGCAGCTGGGACAAACAGAACAAATTACAAAAATATAGAAGTGATATTTCCCCAAACTATGGCATCATAAAATAACACTTGATAAGACTGACTGTCAAGTTAGCAACTGTAAGCGTATTTGTAGCTCTGTAATGAATTTCCTGTCTCACATCACATTAGCGTAATTCCTAATTTCCACTATCTCCGATCTGGCAACCAGGCAGCAGAGCAACCCCATTTAATAACACACTGCCAAGATGTTTCCTATTGGCCTTCATTTAGCCTGTCCAAACACTGCAATACATTATCTCGAGGACACACAAACATCCAAAATGCACACACATCCTGTTATCAGGTTGCAGAGCACAGTTACAAATCTGCCCTCCGTTTCCGCCACAAAACGACCGACTCCAGGCAACACCAATTTAAGACAAAGGCCAAGGGACCGTCAAAGATCCTCCAAGGGCTCGTTCTCTCCTCGTCTCCTTCCCCCTGCTGAGCGATCTGAGGATATTGATTTGGATCTGCTGCGGTCCAATGAGATGAAATGACAACAGGGAGAGTTAATCTTGTTGACTAAACCGCAGACCCGCAGTGTGTGATGATATTGAATGACATCATGCTATTGTGTGGGAGGACGAGGAGGAGGTGAGTGGAGAACCACATGCTGGATTCTGGTGCTACTGACACTGAGGTCATGCGTACTTTATGAGGTGACAACACAACTTCTTTCAGCACAAGATTTGGTTGAACTGCAGAACCGTTTTGACACACTACTTGAAGAGTTAAACGTTCAACCCTGAACAAAAATCCACCACTTTACTAATTTGCAAAAAAACAGATAACTCCATTTTTGTAGATTTTCAGAAAACATATTTTCTTGTTGTTTGCTTGAGATAATATCAATCAAATGGAAGTTGAGTGGATTTGACTCAGTTTGATTGACAAAAATACAAACAACTTAAGTTTGTTTGATAATGTCTCAGGTAGATGATGGAAAAGTGGGTTTTCTGAAGGTTTGTGATGATGGAGTTATCTGTTGTTGCAAATAAACTCCTCAAATGTAAATAAATAGATGAAGTGAGCAGTGGAGGTGGGTTGCTTGCTGGAGTACTGCTCATATTATCTCAACATTTCGAAGAAAAATTCAACATTCATGTTGCTGTTGTGGCTCTTTTGTTGTGTTTTTGCTGCATCCGAGTTGCCGACTTGTCCTTTGAAACGTTTAGATGATCAGATAGATGACTAAAACAAAGCTTTTGTGTTTCCTTGTTGCACTAAAACAGACACAACTATCTCCTTCTATTTGAATAAATCTGGAAAATGCCACTTGAAAGGTCCTCTGCATTCAGTGTTCATGTAGCAGACAGCGACTGATTCACTTCCAAAGAGGAGTTGCTGTGTAACATTTAGAGAAATGGACAGTCAGTGAAGGATCAGCTGACCGTCTGTAAATGTCAGATGAAAGTGAATAGCAAGAAAAGCTTTAGTAATTGATTGGGCGTAAAGGGGAAAAGAAGAAAGGTGGAAGAATAGGAAAGCGAGGATGCCCAAAGAAAGGGTCAGCCTCTCTCATTACACCAGACCTGCCTGTCATTCGCAATGAAGCCGTTTCTTCTGTGATATCTCATGACGTCATGTCGCCTAACCTTTACGTTTGCTGAGCACATATGCTTTCCTTCAGCACTGCTTTGCTTCATACTATTACAGCTGCACACATCCACACACAGCATACCTTGGAGCTGCCCAGCAAAACCTCAGTGGCCGGCAGTAGCTCCGCTGGTGCGCTCAGAGATCAAATGCCTTGCTCGGGGGGTATCTGGACGGTTAAAAGGCGGGGAAACGTTGCCAATTCATTCCATTTGATTTGTTTCCCAGGATTCAAACGGGCGACATTTTAATTATAAGGCTGCCTCGCTAACCTTTTTCCTGCAAGATGCTGCCCGAATCCCATGCTAGTATTAAAACTACTAATGGTTACGTTTAGTTATCTTAATCAAAATATGATGAATGAATTCAATAAATGCTCGCAGACATAAATACACAGACCTTAAAACCACACGTACACACACGTTTTTTTTTTGCTTTCTCATCTAAGCTGATTGTGCCCATAAATCTCGTACAGATTTCTCAAGAGGTAAGATGCTGCTTCACGGTCAATATCCTGTTTTTATTGTACCGCTACACTGCCGGTTCTCTGTATTTCCACCCGGGGAAATAGGCAAACACCGCTCGTCTTAATACGGCTCCACGGCGAAAAAGCAAAGATGGAAATCCACCGTAGAAGCCTGATTTAACACCGCACAAAGGAATTGCAAATGTGAGCCACAGCAACCTACAAAAGACAGTGTGTGATGTATTTCACCTCACTGTTGCGTGTCTGTTGTAAATAAACTAAGATCTCCATTGTCAGGGCTCTGAGCTGCTTGTTGAGGCCAGACCCAGGTACAAAGATGAACAACACTCCTCACTGTTACTGTGAAAACGAGTTTCTGTGAAATCTTTGGGATCAACACGAATTTATTTCACTCTAAAATGATCAGGACGTAGGTCATTTCTTAACCATGACTTACAGTAAAAGCTTAGAAGGCTGCAATGGATCATGGCTAATGATCACTTTTACTGGAATTTAAGGTTTCATTGATTACTTGATGATACTCCCAAAGTTTTTAAAGAAACTTCCATCAGACAGAGTGGGAGCAGAGAATGGCCATAAACTCACCAGTCATCAAACTTCTGCACAGCACTCTCCTGTGCTTCCACATGACTGAGGAAACACACACACACACACACACACACCAACACACACACAGTGATTTAATATTAGCTCCAGAGTGATGTAATATTGAAATACAGTCTGCTTTTAGTACCACAGCTCTCCTGTCCGGGCCCAGAGACTCCACACTGAGGCAGATGTCTAAAAATTGAATCCGTCGAGCTCCAGGTAACTTCACGCCAACTCAGCTGGACATGGAAAACCACTCAGCTGTACCTTTCTCTGGTCTCTGAAGGTCACTACAAGTGCAGCAAAGTAAAAAGCAGTGCTGTGAGGTGGAGCTTTTAGCTTTTCGTATGCATATATGTTTTTGTCTTTACTTCCGTGTGCATGCATTTAAAATGGAGGGGAAGCTTAAAATACAACAAAGTTTAGGAAGTAATCTTTGGACATTTTATTGTTAAAAGGGCCACATGGGTGACATTTACAGTCCCAGATGAGCTCAGGAAGATATTT